TTTTTTTTTTTTTTTTTTTTTTAAATTTACATCCAAGTTAGCATATAGTGCAACAATGATTTCAGGAGTAGATTCCTTAGTGCCCCTTACCCATTTAGCCCATCCCCCTCCCACAATCCCTCCTGTAACCCTCAGTTTGTTCTCCATATTTAAGAGTCTCTTATGTTTCATTCCCCTCCCTGTTTGTATATTATTTTTGCTTCCCTTCCCTTATGTTCATCTGTTTGGTATCTTAAAGTCCTCATATGAGTGAGGTCATATAATATTTGTGTTTCTCTGACTAATTTCACTTAGTATAATACCCTCTAGTTCCATCCACATAGTTGCAAATGGCAAGATTTCATTCTTTTTGATTGACAACTAATACTCCATTGTATGTATGTATGTATGTATGTATGTATGTATGTATGTGTGTGTATTTTCTTTATTCATTCATCCATCAATGGACATTTGGGCTCTTTCCATACTTTGGCTATTGTCAATAGTGCTGTTATAAACATTGGGGTGCATGTGCCCTTTGAAACAGCATACCTGTATCCGTTGGATAAATACCTAGTAGTGCAATTGCTGGGTTGTAGGGTAGTTCTATTTTTAATTTTTTGATGGATCTCCATACCGTTTTCCAGAATGGCTGCACCAGTTTGCATTCCCACCAGAGGCAACTTTACAATATTAAAGGAGTCATATACAAGTCTACAGGCATCATATACAGTGTGGTTAGAATATATAAAGAACTTGTAAAATTAAGTTAATCATAAGAAAGCAAACAACTAACGAAAAGTAAGCAAAAGATTTGGATTGTCACTTCACCCAAGAAGATAGACAGATGAGAAATTAAGTACACGGAAAGATGCTCAAGACAAACACAAATTAAAACCACAATGAGAGGCACCTGGGTGGCTCAGTTGGTTGGGCATCGGACTTTGGCTCAGGACATGATCTCACTCTCGCTGAGATCAAACTCTTGGTGAGTTTGAGCCCCACGTCAGGCTCTATGCTGACAGCTCAGAGCCTGGAGTCTGCTTCGGATTCTGTGTCTTCCTCTCTCTCTGCCCTTCTCCTGCTCACACTCTGTGTGTGTGTGTCTCTCTCTCTCTCTCAAAAATAAACATTAATTTTTTAAAAATAAAAAAATTAAAAAAAAACACACAATGAGATACCATTATATACCTATTAAAAACACTGACCACACCAACTACTGGCAAGAATGTGGAGGAACTGAATTCTCATACCCTTCCGGTGGGAATATGTAATATAATGTAACCATTTCCCAAAATTTTGACAGTTTCTTATAAAGATAAGTATGCACCTATCATATTACTTAACCATTTCACTCCTAAGTATTCACCCAAGAGAAAAAAGTACATATCCATACAGAGTCTTGTGCACGAACATTCAGGGCAGTTTTATCTATAACAAACCCAACTGTAAACAGCCAAATGTTCATCATCAGATGAATGGATAAAAATATCATGGCATCCATACAATGTAATACTCAGCAATAAGAGTAAACCATGGATACACACAATAATATGGACAATTCTCAAAATAATTATGCTGAATGATTCAAGACTGTGTAACTATGGGATTTTACTTATATAAATTTTAGAAAATGCTAATGTATCTATGGTGACAAAGCAAATCAGTTTTTGCCTGGGGGTGGGAGTGGGAGAGGGGTGAAGCTGATTATTTACAAAGGGGAATGGGGAAACTTTTGGGGGTGACTGATACACTCATGATCTTGATTGTAATAATGGTTCCACAGGTCAATAGAGATGTCCAAGCTGATCAAATTGTACACTGTAAAACGTGTGCCGCTTACTGTATGTGAATAAAAAGTATTCTATCACCAGATTGTAATGTTTAATGTTTGTCTTTTCTTTACCTTCCCACCCCACCCTACTGCATTTAACTTTGATTCCTTTTACATGAAAACTGAACTGCCCAAGAAAAAACATTAGCCAAAAGTGTCACCAGGATTCTGTATGTATGGCCCCCTCTGTGCTCTATTCTGTCTGCCAAAGGGGTCTCCTCTCAGCATCAACTTTTGCTGAGGTTTCTTACCTTCTTTTTAGCTCCAGGAGCAGTTTCCAATCCCCAGAACAGCATCTATTAACATAGTCTAAGTCAGAAGCTTCATCACCAGCATCCCATTGATGGTGGACACTCAGCATGAGGAAGGTGTTCAAGCCTCGAAGCACCAGCCTAGCTGCCAGCATGCCCTTCTATCCCTCTCCTCCTTTCTGGCTTGGGACATTGAAGTAGGGACTAAAGCCCTAAGGATAAAAGCTCATGACAAAGATGCAGCCCCGCCTACCTTACAGTATCCTAAATCTCCAAGTTGAGTCCCTTTCCAAATGGATGATGTAGCTGTGCCATCAAACAGCCACTGTCAGGTAAAATCTAGATCAGGCTCTCCTTCTTCCATTTTGTGTAGAACATGGTAAGCCCTTATATCAGGTGTGCTGTTTGTTTTGGTTTTTTTTTTTTCACTTCAGAAAAGTTGTCTTCAATGATTTCTTTGATTACTGTTTCTATTCCAAGTATTATAGTTCTTTTTTCAGAAATATATACAATTCTTTAGGTGAATCTCTACTTTGCCCTCTATATCAACTACTTTCTCATTATACCGCCTCTCTCCCTTTGTCAGCATTCTAGGACAGCTTTTCAAGTCTGTCCTATAAATCTCTGATTCTTTCAACTGGCAGGATATTGCAGCTCTAGAAATATTAAAAATACAGATTCTAGACCAACCTCTTAGAACTTGTGACTTAAGAGTGTGAGGTGGGGCTCAGGAATCATTTTTTGTTAGTTTGTTTCATTTTTGTTTTGATTTTTATTGAATGCTGCAATTTTAGACTTGAAATATGTTGCTCCCCATCACTATGACATGTTAAGACAGTCTTTACCATTTTCCATGTAGAAATGAATGTTATATTTGTCCCTTCTTATTTCACTCCTAACATTTTAATCTCATCTCATCTTTTGGCCTCAAGTTGTCACCCTTTCACTGTTTCATTTTTAAGTTTTCTCTCCTTATAGGTTTTTCTGCTCCTATCCATAAATTCATGCTTTCCTTGAAGATACTATTCTGGTCACTGTAACTTATTTTCAGAAGGCTTTCTTTTTCTCAGAATCTTCAAAATAAGACCCCTTTTTCCTGTTATTTACTATTGTCATACTCATTTTCTGATTATGTTTAGTTAACCTGAAATGAGATAAAAATCTCTCCAGACCTGATGTTTGCCAATGTATATGTATGGATGGCTTTTGACTCCTCCCTCTGCTTACATGAGTATTGGGTGATCTTTACCAACTTTTTCTCCAACATTGAACAAACTTAGATTTTATGTAGAGACATCCTGACCACTCTTACCAAGTCTTTAGCCTTGGTCTGTCAGTAGACTGACTAGCTGAATGAACAACTGTTTGGTCACACCTCTTGCCGGATCCTACTACAAGACATGAACTTCCAGTGTTGTCTGAGCCCCCTGGAAGGGGAATCAGTATTTGGGTAAGAATGGCTTATATAAGGTGTTCCTGACTCTGCCCAACCTTGGGTGCTGCCACGGCTGTACCTAGATTCCAACACTGGCGTGTTACTCTTTTATTTTAAAAAAATTTTAATGTTTTTTATTTATTTTTGAGAGGCAGAAAGGGACACAGCATGAGCTGGGGAAGGGCAGAGAGAGGAGACACAGAATCCAAAGCAAGCACCAAGCTCTGGGCTGTCAGCACAGAGCGTGAAGTGGGGCTCCAACTCATGAACCATGAGACCATGACCTCGCTGAAGTCAGACGCCCAATCGATTGAGCCATCCAGGTGCCCGTGGGGTGTTATTTTTTTAGGACTCTGGTGCAAGCACAGACACAGTAAGTTTCTGTATCTCCCTCAGCACATCTTAGAAAGTGAATTTTTACTTCACTTAAAAAAAAAGAAATAGAGAAGGAAGAAGAAAGGAGGCAGGAAAGAAAGACAGGAAGTGAAGGGAAACAGAGAGGAGGGGAGGGGATAGGAAGGGAACATATGCATGCATACACACACACACACACACACACACACACACACCTCACTCCTCACATTGTGCTTACAGGCCCAGGAGAAAATGCACAAACCAACCAGCATGCACCTTCCTTAGCAGCTGAATCGCCTTTCTGAGGTCTCCTTTGGCAAAGCAGATCCTGCCCATGTTGTAAAAAGTTTCAGCCACTTTTTCACTACAATCACCATAGCTGATGACCTGAGACTTCAGTGAGGCCTTTAGCAGTCTGTAAGCTTCCTAGGGAATTAAAAAAAAGTTTTTAAATAATCCTGGCAATTCTGAAGTAATATGCCAGTTCTATTCCATAAACTCTATGGAGGTGGCATTGTATGCCTTACCAGGATCTGTCAGTTGTGATATGTCACCTAAGTAATGTGTTTCTATGAAGAGTTGAGATTTCATGCTTATATTTAATAATAACAGTTAACTCATAAATAATTATTTAATCTTCATGGCTACTCTATGAGAGAGGAACTATTATTATACTCATATTATAGATGAAGGAATGGACACTAGTAAAAGCTAAGGATCTTGTCCAAGATCACACTGCCTCTAGTTGATTTGCCTGTTCATATTTACCTGTTTTTCTCCATTTTGGACAAGCCATTTGCAAAATTCTTCAATGGTTGTCAGTGTTTCATAATCCGTTGGGCCCAATGTTGCTTGATATGCACTGATACTTTTTATAAAATATATCTCCACAGCATCTGCAAAAAAAAAAAAAAAAAAAAAAGGGAAACACTAATTAAGGCAAGCTGCTAGCCTTTCCAAGTATCTAATACCAGCTTTTCATACTTCAAGTCCATGCCTGTTCTCATTCCAGGTCTCATAAGGACCCTCAGAAAGTCTGAGATATAATTTGATGGCATCAACTGATGTAATTTTATTCTCTTGATTAAATGCATGGATTTTTCTGTAGGAAAAGAAAGCTACGTCTGAACAGCCTTATCCCAAGACCCAAAATGGTCACCATATTAAACTCCCAACTGTAATGAAAGACTATATATTTAACTAAATTAAACTCTGATAGAGAGTATTATTTACTGGGATTCCTGTTAGGGGTGTGTGTGTGTGTGTGTGTGTGTGTGTGTGTGTGTATGTGTGTGTGTGCCTATGTGTGTTAGAGAGTTTTTGTTTCAAAAGTACTTTAAATGTAGTTGTTATCGCTTAAAAATTTACTTTTAATGTTGTCTTTTATTCCAAACATAATAGATGTTCATGGAATCAGTCTAGAAAATGTAATAGAAGCAAAAAAAAGAAAAAATGAAAATTATCTCCACACACACTACTCAGAAGCAGGCACCATTAACATTTTTTACCACTGTATTAAGGTATAATTGGCATACCACACCTTCAACCACTGTAATTACCCAGTCTGATGAACTTTTAGTAAACTTATAATTATATAATCATGATTGAAATCCAGTTTTAGAACATATCCATCACCCCCAAAATATTTTCTTCATGGCTGGTTGCAGTCAATGCCTGCTCTCATCCCGTCTCAGACAGTCACTGATCTTCATTCTATCTTTGTTTTTGCCTCTTCTAGAAATTTCATATAAGTGTATTCATACAACACATGTAGTCTTTTGTGATTCTTTCATGCATCATGCTGTCTTTGAGGTTCATCTATGTTCCTGCACGAATTAGTACTTCGTTCCTCCTTCTGCCGAGTACTTTTCCATTGTGTGGATATACACTACATTTTGTTTACTCATTCCCAAGGTGATGACTATTTGCATTTGTGTGTATAGTCTGTTATACCTATCCACATATCAGTTCCAATTCTCTTCATTCTTTTCTGTGGATTTGTGTTACTGTATGCTGTCATTTTCTTTCAGCCTAAGGGTTTCCTTTAGTATTTATTTTAGGTCAAGACTGCTACCAACAATCCTGTTTATCAGGGAATGCCTATCTCACCTTCATTTTCAAAGGGAGGTTTTCCTGGATATACAATTCTTAGCTGAATTGTATTGCAACACTTTGAATATGTTTTTCCACTACCTTCTAGCCTCCCTTATTCTGATGAAAAAGCAGTCATCAATCATATTGTTTCCCTGTATGGAGCTATTTTTCCGCTGTTGCTTTCAAGATTTTCTTTTTGTCATTCAGAAATCTGACTGTAGGTCTAGTTGTGGTTCTCTTTGTGTTTATCTTACTTGGCATTGGGAATTTTGGATCTGTAGATACATTTTCATCATGCGTGGGAAGTTTGGGGCCATTATGTCTTTAGATACTTTGCTCCTCATTCTGTCTCCTCCTCTTCTGGTGCTCCTAGTACATATATGTTGGTACACCAGCTGTTGTTCCACAGATCTCTTATGCTTTGTTCGTTTTTCTTTAATGCCTTTTTTGTCTGCTGTTTGGATTGGACAATTTCTAGTGATATATCTTTGAGTTATCTTATTCTGTTCTCCACCATCTCAAATCTGATGTGGAGACCATTTAATGACTCTTTCATTCAATTACTGTAATATACAGTAGAATATACACTGTAACATACAGTGTAATATACTCTAGAATTTCCATTTGGTTGTTTTTTTTCTTACTTATTTATTTTTTACAAGAGAACAAATCTACACCTTTATTAATTTACTTTTAAGTTAGTTTAAATCCTTGAGGGGTACAGCATCACACAGATTCTGTGGCCAATGGCTTTAGCAGGAACGTTGATTCAGAATTTGGCTTGGACCATGCCACTGTTTCCATGAAAACAAGTTACTTTTCCCCCAGATCACTCTGGTTTTGTTCAGTTTGCCACGAGGGGTCACTGTGTTGTTCTTTGCTCTGTACACATAAGCACATCTCTTGCCTAGATAGAATTCAGTTTCATCTCAAGCAGAAACACCTTCAATTTTAGGAAGAGCTGTATGCTCCCTCTGGTTCCAGAAACTCCACTTATAGCCAGCAAAAATGGCTTTGGACCACAGCCTTCCAGACATATTTGTCATTTTAGGAGTCCTGTTTCCAGCAGGCCTCCATAGGTTCCAAGATGGCAGGAGAAAAGCGAACTCTTAAATAGTTTATATTTCTCTATTAATAGTTCCTATTTGCTAGGTAATTTTCATTGTATTTTAATTGTTTTAACAGTTTCCTTTAATTCTTTGAACATATTTATGATAGCTGCTTTGAAGTCTTCTAAACCCAATATCTAACCCACTTAGAGTCAATTTCTATTGACGGCTCTTTTTCTGAGTATAAGCTATGGGTTGTTTCTTTGTATGTTTCTTTTGTTGAAAACTGTACATTTTACTTTTTTATGTTTTTATTAATTTATTTTTGAGAGAGAGAGAGACAGAGTGTGAATGGGGCAGGAGCAGAGAGGGAGGGAGACATAGAATCTGAAGGAGGCTCCACGCTCCAAGCTGTCAGCACAGAGCCCAACATGGGGCTCAAACCCATGAAGTGCCAGATCATGACCTGAGCCAAGGTTGGACACGCAACTGACTGAGTTGAGTCACCCCCAAAACTGCACATTTTATTTTATTTATTTAAAATTTTTTAATGTTTATTTTTGAGAGAGAGAGAGAGATTGAGTCAAGGGAGAAGAAAGAGGGAGACACAGAATCTGAAGCAGACTCCAGGCTCTGAGCTGACAGCACAGAGCCTGACACGGGACTCAAATTTACAAACCACGAGGTAGGTCATGACCTGAGCCAAAGTTGGATGTTCGACTGAGCCACCCAGGCACCCCAAAACTGTACATTTTAGATATTATATAGTAGCAACAACAGACTGATATAGTTTTGTGGGTTTTTATTTTGTTTTATTCTTTTTCTTTTTTTTAAGTAGGCTCCACACCCAGCATGGAGCCCAATGTGGGGCTTGAACTCACAACCCTAAGATCAAGACCTAAGCTGAGATCAAGAGTCAAGATACTTAACCGACTGAGTCACCCAAGTGCCCCTGCTTGTTTTGTTTTAGTGAATTGCCTAGACTCAAATGGCAGAATCTGTCTCCTCTATGGTGTCTGAATGCTAATGTCTTTGCTTAGGTGTTTGATTTCTTTAAAATAGACTTTATTCTTTAAGGCAGCTTTACATTCTCAGAAAAACTGAGTGGAAGGTACAGAGATTTTCATATAACTTGCCCACATATGGCATTTGGGATGGTTAATTTTCAGTGTCAACTAGACTGGGCTAAGGGATGTCCCGATAACTGATGAAACAATTTCTGGGTGTCTCTGTGAAGGTGTTTCTGGAAGAGATATACAACTGAATCAGTATACTGAGCAAAGAAGATCTGTCCTCACCAAGTTCACATACACACACGCGCGCGCGCGCACACACACACACACACACACACACACACAAAATGCAAAGAAAGGATGAATTTTCTCTCACTCTTTTCTTGGGCTGGAAATCCATCTTCTGCCCTCAAACATTGGAACTCCTGGTTCTTGGGCCTTTGGATTCTGAGACATATTATACCAGGGGTCCCCTCACTCCTGTTGGTTATATTTCTCTGGAAAACCTTGATTAACCAGGAATGAGCCCAAGAATAAGGACGTTTACTTGCCAAAGCCATGGCTGAGTGCCCAATCTTCAGCGACAGCAGCACTGAGCCTCTAATACGGCACCATTATGTACGGTGATTAGCCAGCTTCCTGGTAGCAAGTTGATTACCCCGAACCATTTTCTTCATGGAAAGGGCAGCATTTTGTCCTTAACTGGAATATATTTCTACTCTGGATATAAATTTGCCTTCCCTGCATGCAATGATTTTACCAAAACTACCATCCATAAACTTAGAATGCCTCATCCATCATCATGGTATTCCACACAACATTGCTTTGGATCAAGGAACTCACTTCACAGCAAAAGAAGAGCTGTAATGGACCCATGCTCAAGAAATTCACTGGTCTTACCATGTTCCCCACCACACTGAAGCAGCCAGCTTGATAGAATGGTGGTATAGTCTTTTGAAGACAGTTACAGTGCCAGCTAGGGGGCAATACTTTGCAAGACTTGAGTTCTCCCAAAGGCTGTGTATACTCTGAATCAGCGTCCAATATATGGTGCTGTTTCTCCAATAGCCAGGATTCACAGGATAAAAACAATAATAATAAAGGTAGAGGAAGGGTGAATTCTCTCTCGCTCCTCCTGAGCTAGGAAGTCTACCTCCTGCCTTTGGACATCACATAATGGTTTTAGATTCCCAGCCTGATCATTCGAATATCCCTACTATATCTCAGTCTGGTTCTGATGCTTGCTGTGTTTCTTGAAACTGTGTTTGTTTTTATTTTGTTTTGTTTTTTGTTTTTGCTTTTTACTAAGCCTTGAAGTTTTCTTGATAGGTGGACATGATGTACTGGGTAAAAGAAAATGCTCTAAATAGGCCACTAGCTACATGGTGGGAAGATGTGGGCTTTGAGGGGAAGGCATTCTATCATCCTAGGTTAGGTCTCGGTCTTTTAGTGAGCCTGTGCCCCTGGACTGTGAACTTCGCAAGTGCTTCTCAGCCCCTTTCTCCCTTAGGGGGGAAGGGATAGCGAGAGTGGGCTAAAGTTGGGTATTTCCTTCCCTTTGGGTTGGTTAGGTTCTGAAACAGCAACAACAACAACAACAACAACAACAATAGTTTAGGCTCTGGTAAAATAATTTCTCTTGAGGACAGGCCTTGTTTAGTAGAAAGCTCTGGCATATTTTTTAAAGGATTTTTTCTTTTAAGTTTATTTATTTTGAGAAAGAAAGTGTGAGCGGGGGAG